TCTTTATAAAAAATAAGATTAAAATATATATAAAAAGTATTTAGCTTTTATATTTAGAATATAGAATTTATAGATTTAAATAGCTTTCTTTTTTATTTAATCTAAATCCTATTAAAAAGTCTAGCGATAAATAAAAGAAAAGCTAAAAAAGCTATTATATATATTAAAAAATAATAAGTATTTAAAAGTAGAACTATAAAAACTTTAGAATTAAATAGATTTATATAACTTTTAATATTATATTAAGCAATTAACTTATAAACTTAAGAATGTTATTAAAGTCTATAGATTAGCTACTATTAATTAATTTACTTTTTTAATTTAGTATAATTCTATTAGTAAATTAAAAAGTTATTTATAGTTAAAAAGAAAAGATAAAAATAGTAGTTTTCGCTTAGATGTATAAAAAGTAATAGCTTCTACTTTTATAAGAATATTTTCAATCAGCCTACCTTATAACTATAAAGCTATTTAGTACTATTAAGATAAGTTGCAAGATATTTGCTATATTCCTATCAGATGTAAACTTGCTACTAGTTTTAGAGCGACTATTCGATAGCGACAATAAGGCCTTATTATATATAATAGTATTAGAAAATCCATTCTAAGTATCTTGCAATCGATGGACCTGCGAAGGTGAGTAGCGTCTTTTACGAATTCATATATGCTAGTTCTAAGACGGTTACTAAGCGTTGTTAGAAGATCTTAAAAATCATAAAGGCAAGCTTGTAAGAAAGACTCTTCACGCCAAAAATTTACGTTCTCGCGTGGATCAGGAAATGGATACTGCATAAAAGCCTTATCAGTTTTATTTTGGATTTTGGCAAGGGAATACCATGAATCTTATATTTCCGAGATACCCCGCGAGTTTGGAGCGCGTTTTGCAAGGTAATTTTAACCCTCCTGGAAGGTTATTAGAATCGTCTAAGTTTATACAATCCGTGATAAATCATTAGTTATGAGAAGAAGTCGTCGAACTTCTTATAGCAATTCAGTTCATGCATACTATTCTGGGCTCCTTGGATGGATCAAATACGGAAAAGGTGATCATGAGCTAGCGGCCACTTCAAATTGTTGAACTAGCCACCATTTGAGCTCTTAGGGACCCGCGTCCTTCAAGTAGCTCAGTAGCTCTTCAGAATTTAAGAAAACCAGACCAAAGGTACATGACCATCCACAGCCTTGCGCAAAAGGCATGCAAGACAATTTTGAGAAAACTGGCTAGAATATTATATATTTTTCACGCCTGGACAATAGCCGTCAGCAGCTTCTTCACTTCCTCAACCAAATCCTTCTTATAAATCAACAGCCCCCGATCCTTCTGCTTCGCCTCATCATCACCAGACCCCAAAGCCTTCAGCCTAACCTGCCCAGCAGCCAGCTCATCCTCCCCAAGTATAACAGCAAGCGGCACATCCTTCGCCGCCTTGAATTGCTGCGTCAATTTCGGTATGACCTTCGCCGAGAACTCTGCGCGGATGCCCGCGTTCCACAACAGACGAGCAATGCTCATGCGCTCGGGCAGCAGGCCACCAAAATCCTTGCCGCCGAACGCCATGACATACACATCGATCTCTTGAGTCAACGCGGAGGGCTTCTTCTCGCGCCGCACGTCGAGCAGCGTGTAGATGCGGTCGATGCCGAAGGATATACCGACACACGGGATTGGACGTTTGCCGTACATGCCGACGAGATTGTCATAGCGGCCGCCTGCGGCTATGCTGCCGACTTGTGGTTGTGAGGATGCGTTTCTAGGCTTTGATTCTAGACTCGGTGCCCCTAAGTCATTGGGATTTGTCGGACCCTTTATGTTGGGCGGTGTCATGATGATCTCGAAAATCAACCCGGAGTAGTAGTCTAGGCCTCGAGCCAGCGAAAGGTCGAAAGACACCTTGTTAGCGACATCCATGGCCTCCAAGTAAGAGACCAGAAGACTAATATCAGCAACTCCCGCTTTCACGTTCTCGTTCGCCATGAGCTTTTCGTCTGACTTCAGGAACTCCAACATCTCGCTAATGTTCCCGCTGTGCTGGACATATCCGCCAATTCGATCCGCAACCTCCTCGGGCAGACCCTTATCCTCGACCATCTCCTTTTTGGCCTCGACCCACGGTATCTTATCCAGCTTATCCACCGCCGAGCTAATAGCCCGAATCTTGTCATCCGGCACCCCCGCGACTGCAAAAAGTCCATCCAATATCCGTCTATGATTGAATTTGATGGTGATGTCTAACTGCAGCGCCTCGAACACCTCTACAACAACACACATAATCTCCGCATCCGCAATCATCGGATCACATTGCCCCGCAATATCGAAATCGCACTGATAGAACTCCCGCAATCGGCCGCGGGCTATCGCGGGCTGATCTCGCCGGTATACCTTGGAGATTTGATACCGCTTCACCTGCGTGACGTTGTTCATGGCCACCCAGCGCGCGAATGGGACCGTAAGGTCAAAGCGCAGGGAGCAGAGCTCGCCGCCTTGGTCTTGTAGGTCGTACATGAGTCTTGAGTCTTCGCCATATTTCTCGGCGAGGATCTCCTTGAGTTCGAAGACGGGTGTGTCGAGGGGCGTCCCGCCGTGGCGTTTGAAGATGTTGCTGATGGTATTGCTGTAAAGCATCAGCAAGTAGACTGCCCGGATGGAGGGTCAATTAGGACAGCAGGACGTACAAAATGTGGTCTCTTAGAAGCAGGTCGGCGCCTACCCAATCGCGCGTTCCTTTTGGTGTTTTCAGCAGAACACCTGGCTTAAATGCCTTCCCCTCTTTTGTGGCCATCTTGCTGGTTACCTTTCCAAGACTTATGTTAGCATGAGAGGGCGCAACTTTGCGTGTTGATGTACGCGCACAGAAAACTTGCAAGTAATTTTTGACGTAGGTTGACTCATCCCACCTCGTTTGTGAGTATTAGGCTTTACGTTGTTCCGGACCGGTACTCGTATTCCACATCATATGCACACCCCGCTTATATTTATTTATTTATTTATTTATTCCATTAACGTCCTGTGTGAGTCTAAGACTATATAGGACGGCGCTAGCCTAATGCTAGCGCGGGCTAGTGATATAGTCAAGAGATATGTTAATATGTTTCCGGTTGGAATCTGTAGGACTAAGCCTAATGCGGACTAGGTCCATAAAGCAAAACGCTATACTAATATCCCCTAAAGCCCTAAAAATCGCATAACTAACAAAATAAAAAGTGGTTAAAAAGTGAATTAAAAAGTGGCAGAAAGCAAAGGCGGTCAGCTAGCATAGCCGTTTCTTATGCTGCAATTGCGCTCTTATGCATTCTAAGCTAAAATTAGGAAAAATCAATGGATTTAGTCGGTGGAAGTGGGCGGTGGGACTTCTAAGCCGTATACTATAGTATATGCTTAGTCATTATTGAATTCTGCCCGTTTAAGCCGCCATTTGCGGGTACTAATACCCGTTTCACCTAAAAAGGTTAGTAGATGCTAGCGTCCGATTTTTGTCTTAAAGAGGGAGCGTAGGCTAAGCCTAAACAGGACATTGTCTTTTAGTCTTTTGCGTTCTTTACTGTATTTGAGGCATCGTAGTATAAGATGCTATGGTGATTCAGGCTTGTGACTGCATATGTAGTAATTGGTGGGTGTTTTATTAAATCGTTTTAGGTATGTCCTAAAGTAGCCGTGTTGTAGCTTAAGCTGGAAAAAGGCGCTAGCAGTGGATCTAGCCGTTTTGGGAAGCTGTATTCGAGAGTGAATTCGTGGGTTGAAAAAGTTGAAGTAGTAGCCTTTGCCGCTAGCTAGAGCATTCGCCCACGCATGCCGTCGTATTTGGTTGATTTTTATGCCTATATAGGCATAGCTTGTGTGGGCAGCCAGGGCGGTCTGGGTGGTCGGAAGTGATTAGGACCCTAATTTGGCCAGTGCCTGATTTATATTGCATTAAAGTAATTTTAGTGAATCGTTCCACCAAGGCTTAGCGTGTGGCGCTAACTAGATTTGGGGTATAGCATCGTGTATAGCGCATAAAATGGCGCTAGTATAACGTTCTGCCATATTATCTAGATGGTCTAGGGTTACTTTATAGCTGCGTTTTATATTAATTTGTTCTAAGCTTTTTAAGCTTAAATTAGAGCTTAAAATATAGCTATAGGCCTATAGCTTATTTTAGAGCGGTGATAGCTAGTAGAAAAGCTTTTCCCTAAATTTGGTCTAATCTGCCCGTTTTATATCAAAACGGGTAGTTTATAGATCTGCTAGTCCTATTTAGGATCTGTTAATAGTAAATATGATCCTAAAATGGTCCGAGCCTATATCGTCTACTATAGCCTAGTCTTAAATATAATTGGCTATAGAGTGATATGCTAGTATAAGGTTAATATTTATTAGCCTCTACATATAGGAGCGGTAGAAGGTGCTAATACCAGGGGTATTTAAGAGGGCTAAATCGTGGTAGTCGATCCAGTCTGCTAGCGTATTGCCTTCTTCGTCACGTGCCTCGTATAGGGGGTCCCACCACGGGTTGTAGGCATTAAAGTCCCCGCAAAAGACCGGAGTGCCGACTTACTATAAGTAGAAATTAATACATATATTAGATTTCGAGTTGGGACCAAAAAGCGGCAGCTACTCCGTAGTGGCTAGTGGGCTAGAGAAACGACAAGTAGAATTCTCGATCACCTCTCTGAGCGGCGTATAAAATGTGACCATATTCTACCTCATGTTCGCCATGGACTTTAAAGAGCGGAATGTTTACCCATTAACAGGCAATATAGAACTATCTACCTTCTAGAAAATTATGCTCGTTATATATACAGGCGATGACATAGAATGCGCTACTCTTTCAAAACTAGCAATGCTTCTTTGATTCTTTAGGGGAGAAATAATCTAGCTAATGGAACACGGTACAATTTCATTTGCTCCATCTAAGCAAAGGAAAGATGGGCCAAGAACTCCGGGACTCTTGGTCCTTGTACTGGCATCTCAGCTAGAATCCCTTCAATCTCCTTGAGATCCTCGGCCGTCACATGCACGTCCTTCGCGTTCTCCTGAACCCTGCTAACAGTTGTCGCCCCAGGAAGCGGAATGATAAGTGGGTGGCCCTTCGTGCCAGAGTATGTTTTGACCCAACCAATAGCAAGTTGGGCAGGTGTGCAACCTTTCTTCTCGGCAACCTTCTGGATAGCATCTACGAGCTCCAAGTTCTTGTGGAAGTTCGCCTCCTGGAAGCGCGGTCCCATCTTCTGAAACTCGCTCACATCGCTGAACGACTTGATCTGGCCGGTCAGGAATCCCTTCCCCAACGGACTGTATGCGACAATTGGGATACCAAGTTCAGCACAGGTCGATGCGACGCCGTTCGTCTGGATGTCCAAGCTGAAGAGGGAGAACTCAACCTCCACTGCCACGATGGGATGGACAGACGCAGCACGGCGAATAGTGGCAGCACCAGTCTCTGACAAGCCAATGCCACCGATCTTTCCTGCCTTGACGAATTCGGCCAGGTACCCGATAGTCTCTTCAATCGGGGTTTTAGGGTCCACACGAGCGCACTCGAAGATGTCAATCGTCTTCTTCCCGTCCAGAACCTTCAGACACTCCTCAATGCTTCTGGTAAGGCCTGCTTTATCGCCAGTAGGGGTGAAATGCTCTCCGAGGGCGCCCTTGATGCTCAGCACCACTCTGTCTGCATCCTCAGGATATCTGGAAAAATAGGCGTGCAGAAGGTGGAGGGAGTTGTTGTCTTTGGTACCATAGAACTCGCCTCCATTCCAGAAGTTACAGCCGGATTCGAGGGCAGCCTTCATGGTTTTGAAGGCCTGTTCGTAAGGGGTGGGCTCAGGACGCCAGGTGAAGCCTGCATACTCGTTGTGTAAGTGATGGAGGAATTCAAAACATAGAGGAGGAAGGAATGTTTACCCATGAGGCCGAAACCAATAGGCCCGATTTCCTTTCCTCCAAGAGCAGGCATTATGAAGATGTTGTAGTTTTGATGAGAGAGGGATTGAATGTGTAGGTAGTAGGCTTGATTCTATCGAAGAGATTGCTTCTTTTTCGAGGAGGGTAGAGGCTTTTATATACATAAATGTGTCTCAGCCACGGTCGCCAGCACCCACCTGTTGTAAATTGCAAGACATACATAAATATCAGGCGGGGTTAGAACGGAATTACGAACCTACGATAAACCCGAGTGAAATGGTGGAGCCGACCTTTCCGCATGTAGAATACAATTAAGTCTTGGCAAAATCTTGTGTAACCCGATTAGTTGCTAGAACACATCTTTGTCACATCTTTTCTTGGTCCTTTGTTCTCCAAACAAGACATGATACTGTAGATATATCGTAATCAATGACTCATTCACCCAATAGAACCAAGAAGAGCGGACTTAAAGCATCCGAAAACCATCTTGCCGTATAGACGGGAGTTATAACGGGGGCTGAAGCGAGCCCCTATTCCAGATCGTTTATTAGCGAACCCCTTAAAAGAGACCTACCGGTTTGTTGCATGTATTCAAGTCGCCTCAACTTTCCTGTTTGCCGCTCTTCCTAGTTGTACATGCTAAGACCTAGATGCTGTAGTGATTACAACATTCGAAGCAAGAAAGAAAGAAACAAATAGACGGATAACAACAGAGAGTCTTGTGCTCGACTGTGGTGAGGGAACATTCCCAAGGCGCGTTACTACATCGCTGATCTGAGCCGTTGGTTGTATTTGGCGCAACAAGTCTTGGAGCAATGGGATCCAAGAATGCTGAAATTCCAGGGTCTATCTCCTTCGTGTCAGATACTGTACGATGCCACGCGATCGCCATGTATCTTGCACACACGGAAGGTGGGTTACATGCCCGCGCACCTATGTGTTCATGCTGTAGCAAACGAGTGTCCGGGCAGGAATCGCAAAGGGATGGCTCGAGTCATACTCTGTGCTCTGAAATCTGAGATCGGGGTAGAGACGACATGGTCTTGTCCCAGGTTCCTGAGGTGCGGCGACAGAATCCCAGATGTAGTAGGGTGGATCTCGAACTGTTGCGATGACCTTGAAGAGACAAGATATTCCACACTTGCAAATTGCACCTCGGATTCGAATAGATGGGAGGGATTCAGTCCCAAGAAAAAGTCATGTGATGTATATGGGTTTGAATAATAATATATCAGCAGTTTCTTACAATTGAGACAATTTGGTATGTGCAATTGACCAGCTGCCTCGAAGACTTGGAACGACTATAACAAGGAAAGCGTAATGCAACTGCTACCTAGGTATCAAAAGCAAAGTACTACCAGTACCATCAATTAAAACTCACTCACCTTACTCATCTTGCCTCCCAGGCAGGATACATTCTCTGGCTTTTCACCGCTAACCTTATTAGCCACCCGATTGATCATATCTAGCAATTGATTGCAGCAGGCGCACACTACATTGAGACAGCATACCGGCGGCATGCCACATCAGGCCATGCCATATCATGATCCTAGCGTCATACGTTGCTTTTCACGCATCCATAGCCACAACCACAGCCATACCTAGATAGATACAAAAGACGACGTCCACGGCGACGACGACGATGGGATTGCACCAGGACTCAAAGCTTTGAAAAAGCAGCGGAAGAGGCCAAAGTGTACAGCACAGTGCAGTTCCCTCGCCATAACGATGTACTATACAGACACAAGCAATGCGTTATGTCGTGGAAGAAACAGAGCTCACCAGCGCGGGTAATACACATCTAGGTAGGTGGAGGTATGTACATAGGTACGGTACGTACCTTTTGTTCGGGCAATTAATTGATGCGAGTGTGGGCCTGGCTTGGGCTTGGGGTCTGGCCAAATTGTTCATCTTCAGCCTCGCCGGTGATCCCCATCCATTGCCGCATTACGAGCACACGGCTGCCTTCTCTCGCCTTCACGCCTTCACCTTCTTCGCCTTCGCCTTCTTCCTGTCAGAGGCAAACAAGCACCACAACACAACACAGCATACATAATATCACATCAGCAATCATTCCACCACCTTCTACGCGACCACCTCCCTTCACCGACACCCTATTGGTTGTTTGGTCATCAATCCTACCTACCGGCTTGTAGGTACATAATTGTCGCTCTCCCACCAGACTTGAAACCCCACTCCATCCGAGCGAGCACGACCCCTCCACCCCCAGCCCAGCCAGCCCAGCCAGCTCCATCTGCATCGTCATCTTCCACCAAACCCAACACCCGCAATACGACAACAACAACAACAACAACATCACCCTTTCAACATGTTGGTCCAACCCCCTCATTACCATCCTGGCTTCTTTGCTAATAATGGCTAACAGGCGCATCACCTTGACCATCACCGCGCCCACCAACGATGAAGCTGACCTCCTCTCCCTCGATATCCCGCCAGACACCACTGTCAGCTTACTAAAGGAGTCTGTGCAAGCCGAATCTCGAATCCCCACTACTTCTCAGCATCTGTACCATAACGGCCAGCTTCTCAACGATGACACAAAGACCATGGATCAGTTGCAGATTGGTGACGGAGAAATGTTGGCCCTCCACGTCCGCGATATGGCAAGAGCAGCTCCCCGGGCCTCGCAGCCAGCACGTCAACAAGCAGCCCCACAACCAAGGGGAGGACAAGGCGGCTCTCCAGACCCAGAAACCATCCGATTACAGCTACTTGGTAACCCAGAGATGAGAGCACAGGCAGTAAGCCAGAAACCGGAATTGGCAGCGGTAATCGACAGCCCAGAAAGGTTCGCCCAGCTATTTCGAACGTGGCAAGATACCGAGAGGGACGAGCAGGCACGGCGGAGACAGCACATCGCAGATTTGAATGCGGATCCATTTGATATTGAAGCCCAGACGAGGATTGCGGAGATGATACGTGAGGAGCGAGTTCAAGAAAATCTACAAAATGCTATTGAGCATAACCCTGAGGGTGAGAGAACTTAAATAATGTTTTGCAACTACATGGACTGACAAAAGGATAGTTTTCGGCCGAGTTCATATGTTGTATATTGACGTCGAAGTCAACGGTCATAAGGTTAAGGCATTTGTTGATTCTGGAGCACAAGCAACTATCATGTCCCCTTCTTGTGCGGAGGCCTGTGGTATCATGAGACTCGTAGACAAGCGGTTCGCTGGTGTTGCTCGAGGCGTTGGAACGGCAGCCATTCTCGGACGAGTACATTCGGCTCAGATCAAGATTGGCGCTTTGTTTTTGCCCTGCAGTTTTACAGTCATGGAAGGCAAAGATGTGGATTTGTTACTGGGTCTAGATATGTTAAAGCGCCACCAAGCCTCCATAGACCTCTCGAAAGACAAGCTCGTGATTCAAGGCGTCGAGGTTTCTTTCCTGGGTGAAGCGGATATACCTAAGAATATCGAGGAAGAGAGAGCAGAGGAGCCCAAGGTGGCTGGACCGGGCGGTACGATGATTGGAGCACGATCTGGTGCTGTCTCTGGACCCTCTGCGCGAGCAGCACCTTCGCCCTCACCTGCACCCCCTGCGCAACAGACCCCAGCGGCACCTCAGCAAGCGTCCTTCCCTCCCGAATCGATCGATCAGCTTGTAGCGTTAGGCTTCTCGCGAGAAGAGGCTGTTAATGCGCTTGCTGCATGTGGAGGGAATGTAGAATATGCTGCTGGGCTGTTATTCCAGGGATGAGCTTCTATAGCGGTTATTCGAAAGATATCATAAGAGGGTAGCAAGATTTGGCATTGCATTTGGTATTGCATTTGGTTGGGGCCCCGGAGCTACCTGGCGTTTAGCTCTGATGATTATTGCTGGCATCTTTTCAGGTTCTGCATATTTGCCCATTATCATGATATATGACTTTGCAAACAGCCAATAAAAATATTATTCTCGTCTTGACAAGACATGCTACTAATTGGTAATCTGTGACAAACGGCAATAGTTGGGTTCTATCTTAGCTTATACACACAAGGTTTTAGCACCCCGGCTTCACTCGATACAGGAACATCCTCCTCTGCATCCGTAAACTTCCCCTTCGGCTTCTTCTTCCAAGTCTCGAGTCCCATTTTCTCCATTCCCTTTGGAACGGGCACACACTTGCCCTTGATAGGCGTGACTCCCTTGACGAAATGCATCTTGACAAACATCCTGTTGCTCAGATCCACAGCCGCCTCGCCTTTCAACACGAAACCCCTCTTCCTTAAGACCTCCACAAACGCACTAACATCCGTTTCCTGCTTGGTATCTTCATTCCCATCGACTTCCACCATGAGCGCTGCGTCATCTTTCACGGCATCTTCGTCCTCTGTCTTTTTCTTCTCTTTCTTACTAGGCTTTTGTCTAAACCCCACACTATGCTCCACCCTTCCCCCCTTCTTGCCTCCCACACGTCCGAACCGGCTCTTAATCTCCGCAACCCACAACTCGCCCTTCCATCTCAAGACCCGGTACGCCTCTTCAATAAAATCAATCCAGTTCGTGCCCATGAGCGCCAAGCAGAAGATAGCCACGTCGATACTCTCGTCCACTAGGGGCAGATTTGCGATATCTGCTCGCGTGACCAAGGGATGGGGAGAAAAGAGGTCGAAACTGTGGATTTGGAGGTTGAGTTTCTTGGAGTCTTTTTGCAGTGCTTCCGATAATGCAGCGTCTCCACAGCCCAGATCAGCAATGCGACAAGTCTTCTCTGTCCTTGGCAATGGCACTACAGCGTCAGAAGCTGCCTCTGTCGCAGCACCCCCTTTCCGTGATGGTCCTCCTCGCGCCTTTGACCTGGTCTTGATATCGTTGATGTAGCTGTCGACGGGGTTCTCGGGCCAGATTTCGACTTGGCGCCGGAAGCCTTCGTGGTACTCGGTGAACATCTCTGGGTTTTCGGAGAAGAGATCGAGGGAGTGCGCGGAGGGTGTGGTGTATAGTGTTTGGTTTAGGTGGCGGAAGCGGGCAGAGACGAGCTTCTTGCGCATTTCTGCTTGGAGGGGAGTTAGGTGCGGGGTGGGTTTTGTTGCTGGAGCTGGAGGTGCGACTTTGGTGGACGGTTCCTCTGTCTTGGTTGGGTTGCCCGTTTGCTCTAACGCAGCGGCTTTCTTCTCCCGCTTCCTTTCCTTGTCCTTCTTTCTTTTCACGCTTCTCTCGCTCCGCTCCTCTGTTTTCTCCTCTGCGGCTACATCCCCACCATTTTCAGGTGCATCTCCTGCGACATCGTCTTTGGCAATCTTCTGCCGTTTCTCAACCTGCTTCTTGCTCTTAACTTTAGGCTTTCCCTCAATCACTCTCTCATATAGATCTGCCACATTGGCAGGGTTCACAGCTAGAGTTTTGGACTTGCCGCTGTTAAGTTTGCGCTTCTTTGACTTTGACAGGTCGTCATCGTCCGGGGCCGAAGTAGCTGTGTCATTTGTTGCTGGAACTGGTTTCGGCTCCAATGTTTGTCTCTTGAGGAGATTTGAAGAGACGGACCAACCTGGAACAGCGAACATGGTGCTTGTGAGGTTGTTCAATTTGGATATGTTGTCGTGAGTGCCTCTGAAAATTATATTTTCTACTGCTGTCCCACCTTTCTGCGGGAATGCCCGCTAGCGTTTAAGTGAGCGGCCGCACCACCGCAGCCAGGCCAGGCCCCATGTCTTATGAAAAGGGTGAAACAATCTGGGCTGAGAGACACTTCACCAGTAGAAGTGAAAGTAACATGGCTTCATATCGATATTGATTTTAAGAAGTAATAACTATGATCATTGATCAATGCTTTATTAAACGTCTGGTGTGAATATAAACAACCCTGAACCGTAGACTTTGCCCCTTTTCATTTATATGACACATTTGCAACTGGAAAGGCTATCTATTTATTATCTACTTGGAAATTCCTCTTATGTACAGTAGTCTTCAAATAGAATATTAAACCTAGGAGTTTTCTTAGCAATTCTTTTCTTCACCTGGCATAGGGTGAGAACACATATATACACGTGATCCGACCTAGTTTAAGTAGCTTGACGCGACTGTACCCAAGCATCGCATCTACCTACAGGAAAGGTAGCATAATTCAAGTTACACATATCACATCACAGCCTTAGCATCACCTTCCGCAACATCCTCTATGGAAATGATGCCCAGGAAGTAAATTACTCAACATGCCAAGGGCCCGACCTCCAACGACGGGCTATGCTCGAATTGCCCAGGCCGAAGACTCCGATTCAGACAACGATGACCTGGCCGACAGCTATGCCAGCTTGCAACCAGCTTCTGCCCCCCGATATGCCGCCATAACTCAACCCCGGCCACAGCCTGGCATGTATACAGATGAAAACCCATCACCATCTGCGATGCGCAAACCGCGACATCGAAAACGAAAGGGAAGCGCTTCCTCCGGCGTCGACATCAAGGCCATCAATGCAAGGTTAGAGAGATGGGCAGACGAAATAGCTTCCAAGTTCAAGATCCAGAAAGTCGCGGGCAAGACGGATGAGGAGGAGACATTGGAGATTCATCATTCCGTATTCCAAGCCCCTGAAGGCGTGCGACCAGCGACAGCTGAGACCCTTGCTTCGGAGGTTGACAATGGCCGGATGACAAAATCAGAGTTCAACGATGTAGTAGAGAGCGTCAGAGTAGCCATCGAACAGGGCATGCACCCCAAGATGATCACCCAAGGCAGTTCAGGAAGTTATTTTGCTAGGAACACTGAAGGAAAGGTGGTCGGTGTCTTCAAACCAAAGGACGAGGAACCGTAAGTTACAACCGTAAAGTTCTGCATGTGATTTTACGCTGACACTCTGCTACAGCTATGCCGCTGGAAATCCAAAATGGAACAAGTGGATACATCGAAACCTGTTCCCCTGCTTCTTCGGTCGGGCGTGTCTCATTCCCAACTTGAGCTACGTCTCTGAAGCTGCTGCATACACCCTTGATTGCAGACTACGAACGAACCTTGTTCCATATACAGATATTGTCCACCTATCTTCGAAATCGTTCCACTATGATTTTTGGCATCGTAGGAATTTCTACAGGAAGAGGAAGCCTTTCCCACCGAAAGTTGGCAGTTTCCAGGTATTCCTAAAGGGATTCAAAGACGCGAACATCTTTTTGAGGGAGAATCCATGGCCAGATCATACTAGTGGAGGATACAGACCAAGTGATAATCTAAAGAAAAAGGGCAAACCGTGGCGTGATACATGCCGGCCGAATAGCGCCAAATCAGATGATGATTACGAAGAAGAAGAAATCCCATCTGCCTCTGAAGACGGTCAGAACAGGCGTTTCGCTTGGACTGATACTTTACAGCAATCTTTTCGCGAGGAGTTAGAGAAGCTTGTTATTTTGGATTATATCATGCGGAATACAGACAGAGGATTAGATAACTGGATGATCAAGGTCGATTACGAAAATCAGGATGTGTCTATCGTTTCTGAACCCCTCAGGATGAACGGTGTACACGATGCAGAGCCTTCACCGAGATTGGTACCAACGGATAATACGCCTCCAGGCTCACGGCCTTATAGACCACAGCAACCCATGGAAGCCATCAGCAGGTCAGCTACGCCGTCTCAATTGGGTGGACCAACGATGTCTATTGGAGCCATTGATAACAGTCTGTCTTGGCCTTGGAAGCATCCCGATGCCTGGCGAAGTTTTCCTTTTGGGTGGCTCTTCCTCCCAGTCTCACTCATTGGGCAACCCTTTTCTCAAAAGACTAGGGATCACTTCTTACCACTCTTGACGTCCAAGCAATGGTGGAGCGAGACTCAGCTAGAATTGCGGAAGATCTTCAGCCAGGATGCAGATTTCCAGGAACGAATGTTTGCAAGGCAAATAGCAGTCATGAAAGGACAGGCTTGGAATGTTGTAGAAACATTGAAGACAGTCGATCACGGACCTTTGGAGCTTACTAGAAGAGCACGTGTCTGTGTTTGGGATGATTTGGTCGATATCCCTGTTGCAGTGCCTATGAGGGTGCCGTCCGCTGAGATGCGGAGACGGCATGATCTTCAAGTTCAGAAGGATCTCCAGGAAGAGGAGATGGATATCAGTGCAGCCAATGCTTCCGCTCCACAGCCGGATCTTTTGGGATTATCGATTCCAACTCCGCCGGCAGACCTACCGAATCCGAATCGATTTGAATTAGCCAGTCCTCGTGCCAGTGACGATGTATCTGGGGTGCAGTCGCCTGCATCGCCATCAACCATCACGAATTTCGGCGGCCAAAGAGATGTCACGAAGAACAACCAAGTCACATTCTCTGACCGTCCTCCATATAATCACTCGAGGACTCGCATTAGTTATGATGGGCCCCCGAGGACAATGTCCTACGCTCCTCGGCGCGAGACTAGAAGGTATTCGCTCTCCACTAGGTCGCGCACGAGCGCACCGACATTGTATGATGCGGAAGATGAAGGAGATCTTGGCTATGCAGCGGCCGAGGGGATGGAGGGTAATCAACGAAAAGTGATTGTGGAAAGACTAGAAACAGTCAAGAGCAAGAATCCAGTATTTACATGGTGTTAGAGCGAGGAACAGATAACCCCAGTGTATTATAGCGGGGCATGGCGTTAGAGAGTAGTGGCGGCGTTTGAGTTGAGCATCTAGATATGTTATATTTTTATGGAGTGTACAAATAAATGTAATAAATGGGAGCATATGAAGCTCCGTAGTCTCTTATTGCACTCTGCACAACCTACACAACGACAGAGGTCTATCGTGTAAGTCATCCGGGACTTCTGAGTATCTGTACGGAGGTACCCATCAGATCCCAGATCTACTTTAGGCTGAATTTGTCATGAGACGCCGGATGATGATCATGATACTATTCCTGGCTTGGCCTGTCCTGTGCTGTCGTGCCCTGTCCTGAAGTAACGCCACATTAGTAAGCGTTGGTGGTTGAAGCTGAAGGATACAAAGTCTGACGAATACTAAGTAATCAAGAGCGGTGTTGATTTATTATACACTTTAACTTACGTACTCCGCTATTCGCAATTCCATTCCATTCCATTCGATCTTTTCGTTGTGAATGCGCCTTCTTCGTACATCGCACGATACAACCAACGCTCCTTCTCACAGTCGTACAGTACAGTACTGTACCACAGCACAATACTGTACCTCGGTGCCCAGGCAAAGATGCAAGAAGAGGACTGCCTCGCGACAACTGTGTAATTATTTTCGACCTTGTCTGCCGTGTTTTGCCTGGCCCTCCTCTCCTCCCCTCAAATCAAGCCAAGCCATCAAACTGCGGAGAACGTCGCAACTTGCGGTAATAGCGCCAAAGAAGACATCCGGGTTCATCGCTCTTCCGGTCACTTCACTTTGCTTCACCTCCGCCCGAAAAACGAGGACAGAATATCGTGCAGTTGAGAATTAGGGGTACGAGTAGGGATCATCATCACAGCCCAACATTCATCCTTCCTTATAGTACCCATGCATCCTACGCGCCACCCTCGACGACGACCCCTACTCTCACTCTTGTAATCCGCCGCGCCAGCTACTTACCACAATTCTGACTTCGACTTCGACGGAGAGATGGCATCTTGGGATCAGACCAACGATGAGTCCTACTTCTCGAATGGACCACCTATGCCCGGTCCCAGCCCCTATTTTGAGAGCGCGGGGCAACCAAATCCACAGCCTCGCCCCTCTCTTGCGGCGCTCCCAACCCACAATCCACAACTCGCCCAGGCAAGTTATCGTCATCCGGATGTCCCACGAACTGCAAACAACACGCCGGCTTTTACATCTGGTTCTCAGTGGGCGCCTGCCGATCTATTAAATCCACGAGGCTCCAACCAACCTCTACCGCGGCAAAGAAGACCCGAAAACGTTCCATACAACAACAATCATAATTCTGCTCCCCAACTCGCGTTTCAGTTCGATAGCCCTGGTGGCACACCCCCACCATACCATGCGCATCCAAGTCCACAACAGTATAATGGAGGCATGGGTATGGGTATGGGCAACATGCTGGAGCGCATGCATAATGTCGCAGACCGAGCGATGGTACCCCAGAAGCGGCGCAAGGTTTACGAGGATCCGGCAGACAACAGGAGAAAACCCGAGTTCAATGGGGGTTCTGGATCTGGAGTTCTAGGCAGTTACATGAAGGAAAAGAAAGAGCAGGGCCAGCGAGAGGCTGCATCCAAAGGAACGCTAGTCGACATATCTGCCGAGGAAGATGATGAAGTTGAGGTTATCAGTGATCCTGGCGATCAAGAGGTCTGCTACGGAAGGATTGAGGGAGCAGATATCAATGCTTTTAGGGTTCCAACGCCGAAGCCAGGTTCCAAGGCAGTCTCTAATGGTTTCTGGCCCCAGGTTAAAATCCTTCTACGACGGAAGGAGGGCGAGAGACACACTTGTGTACATGCTATTGATAGCACACGCGCGATTATTGGTTGCTTGGATGTTAATACCGCTATTGGTCTGGTACCCCTCCTGGATTCAAAATTCGGCATTCGAACGTCATGTCGCATTCTTACTAGACCACGCAAGGAGGACGATAAGCCTGCTGGCACCGAGGTCTCCCGCCGGTATGGTCTTGACTTGAATATATATGGCCCGAAGAAGTACGCCATCCAAATCGGAAGACACCTTTCTCAAAAGCAACTCTGGCTACGGACCCCACTATTTGTTGAAGCTGGAATTCCGTTGCACAACCCACATACCATCGAAAGGCCTCCTCAGTCGGCTGCGAGACCACTTGCCAGCCGTCAACAGGGCCCCACGCGAACTACGGAAGAGATTAGAAATGACCTGATCGGCATGTTTGACTCCCTTGAGAAATCCGAGGATCTTAAAGAAATGGACCCGGACCCGCGAATTACAACCCCGTTGCTAAAGCACCAAAAACAAGGCCTGTACTTTATGACTAATAAGGAGAAAGAGCGGGTCTTCTCATCTGATGAGAAAGGAAATAGTTCTTTGTGGAGGCTTAGAATTGGTAACAGTGGCCAAAAGACGTACTATAATGTTATCACAGGCCAGGAAGAGCGGCAAAGCCCACCCCAGATCTTAGGTGGTATTCTGGCAGATATGATGGGTCTTGGAAAAACGCTCAGCATCTTATCTCTGATTGTTAATACTATGGACAACGATGCACTTCAATGGGCCGCATTGCAGCCCTATGCCGAGCAGTATAGTAAAGAACTTTGTCAGCTGAAGAAGGGAAAGACCGCTTTACCTCCTAAAGTTGAGCAGACAGCTCTAGTGCGGAACTGCAAAACAACCCTTCTTGTTTCCCCACTTAGCACGATCGCCAATTGGGAGGATCAAATCAAACAGCACATCATACCAGGCACATTAAGCTATTACATCTACCATGGCTCTAATCGAATTAAGGACGTCAACAAGCTGGCAGAATATGATCTGGTTATCACCACGTACGGGTCGGTAGCGAGTGAATTAGGTCATCGGGGCAAGCAGAAGGTCGGCATATACCCGCTGGAGGAGATGAACTGGTTCCGTATCGTCTTGGATGAGGCACATATGATTCGAGAACAGTCAACTCAACAATCAAAGGCTATCTGTAGGCTTCAGTCGTCGCGGCGATGGGCCGTAACCGGTACTCCTGTTCAGAATCGCCTGGAGGATCTGGGTGCGCTTATGACCTTTCTTCGAGTGAAGCCGTTTGATGAGAGAGGTGGCTTTGCGCAGTATATCATGGCTCCTTTCAAGATGTGTGATCCTGACATTCTTCCGAAGCTTAGGCTTCTAGTCGACAGCATCACCCTTCGACGTCTAAAAGACAGGATCGATCTACCCTCGCGCACAGATCAACTTGTGAAGCTTGACTTTAGCCCCGAAGAGCGTCATATCTATGAGATATTTGCGAAGAATGCGCATGATCGAGTCAAGGTCATTGTTGGTCAGCGAGAGAAGAGCTTAGGTGGCAGAGCATACGTCCATATCCTGCAGTCCATTCTTCGACTTCGACTGATCTGCGCTCACGGTAGAGATCTCCTGAACGAGGAGGACCTACAAGTCATGAATGGTCTCAGCAAGGACTCTGCAATTGAGTTGGACAGCGATGACGAGGATGACAATAGGCCTGCCTTGTCTTCTAAACAGGCATACGATATGTACGATTTGATGGGTCAGACAAATGCGGATATCTGCATAACCTGCAATCGCAAAATTGGTCCTAGCGATACTATAGATGAAGGAGAGGCGAAGGATCCGGTCATTGCTCATATGACACCCTGTTTCCATTTGCTTTGCCCAGCTTGCTTTGGAGGCTATAAGTCTCAGATCGAAGAGAATGCCCAGGGTCAATCAATGGGGGGATGTCCAATATGCCACATGCATATCAAACTATCTTACTTCCCCCTTAGGCAAGGCGGCGTGGAAGATGAAGGTCCTAAGATGAAGGGCAAAGGCAATACGAGACATGGAGCCAAAGATATGGCTAATTACAGCGGCCCACATACTAAGACTAAAGCCCTCATCCATGATCTCCTAGCATCGAAGCAGGAATCCGAGCAGAAGCCTGAAGAAGCACCGATTAAAAGCGTTGTTTTTTCCGGCTGGACCACACATCTGGATCTTATACAGCATGCCTTTCAAGAGAATGGCCTCAAGTACGTCCGTCTCGATGGCAAGATGTCCCGAACTGCTCGTGCAATAGCAATGGACAACTTCCGCGACGATCCTAGCATTCATGTGATTCTCGTGTCAATCACCGCTGGCGGCTTGGGCCTGAACCTCACAGCAGCCAATAAAGTCTACGTCATGGAACCGCAGTATAACCCCGCGGCTGAAGCTCAAGCTGTCGACCGTGTCCACAGACTCGGCCAGAAGCGCGAGGTCGTCACCGTACGCTATATCATGAGCGACAGTTTCGAGGAGAAAATGTTGGAGTTACAGGAGAAGAAGAAGAAGCTGGCCAGCCTAAGCATGGATTCGGATGTCAGTAAGCGGATGGGCAAAGACGAAGCGTCGAGGAAGCGATTGGAGGATCTGCGGAGCTTGTTTAAGTAGGACTGGGATTGTAAAATTCGCGTTTGATTGGCGTTTGGGATGGAGGCATACACATACATACACATATCTAGAGGCTACGCAGCTTATCATATGATATGAGAAATATGACGCCGGAGTTCGGCGGTGGGGCATAGAGGGCGGGATACATAGCATTCGCAGGGTGAACAATGGGTGAGTGGACGGGTGTACATATGCTGGTGTTTGCTAGATAATATGATCTTGATGCGAACGAAATGTCTCTTTGACTCTGCTGCTTGTGGAAGGGAAGTACAGCGCAGAAGCTGTACTGTATCCATCTTGAGACATCACAGTACATTTTATTCACGAGGGTCCAAATCGACAAACCTTTTGCAAATCACACATTCAACGACAAACTTTGAATCATGAATCTGAAGGCAGAGTAGACTGACTAGGTATATTGCAAGCATGCATCGTGATTTCGTGTCCAATTTCTCGTCATATCATAACATACATGCTACCGTATACTACAATACATTTGAAATACAAGTCCCCCCCGGCGCTGAATCCAGCCACGCACGCATGCATGCATGTCCTCATTGAACCCACTCATTGTCATCCGCAACATCATAATCCAGATTCTCCACATGCTCTCTCTTCAAATCCGTGCGCTCGGGAGCGTACGTCGGCACCATGGCATCGCCATCGCCATCGCCGTCGTCCATGGCTGAGTCCTCGGGTTTGAATACTGGAGCGGAAGTGGAAGTGCCAGTGGAAGAAGAGAGATTGATGGGAGGCAGAGGGGTTTGCACCCATGCCATTTCTATTTTGCCGACCGAGGGCAGCTCGCCGCCTGGCAGGCCGTACATGAATTTCTCGGCGGTGAAGCGGTCTTTGAATGTTACGGATGTTTTGGGGGGTGTGATGTCTAGCTCCGTGTACTCGCCGATGCCCTGTTGGATTAGATTAGCAAAGGTAGATAACAGTTATATCGGTCAGGTCAAGGTTTTGTTCTCAGGGGTAAATAAAAGTGCTTACGAGAAGAAACTGCCGGAGACTCTCGTCGTTCTCGGCATTGGTGAAGTCGACTCCCGTCAAGGCTATCTTCTTGGGTCGGTTGTCGAGCTTGTATGCACCCGCACCGCCTCCTGCGAATGGGGCCCCGCCACGACCCCTAAAGCCGCCACGGAAACCACGGGGAGTGTATGCCCCTCTTGCCCTGAAGGCACCACGGCCACGACCTCGTCCGCGGTATCCACCAAAGGACGGCTCTTCTGTGGCTGAGGGGTCGATACCCAGGGACTTTGCTTCAGCTTCCAACGCAGCAAGTTGTGCTTTCAAAGCTTCCGTTTGAGAAGTCGTTTGTCCACCCGCGGAAGATGGAGTTTCGCTCCCTTTATCAGAAGGAGTTGTGCCGGATTTGGCGCTCTTGGCCGCTATCCTCTCCATCAACTTTCTCTTCTCCTCGGCCTGGCTCTTTAAGAGGTTTTCTTGTCGTTTCTCAAGCTCTTTTCTCGAATTCTCCATTTCTTGCTTCTTCTTCATCTTCTCCTCGTGCACCTTCTGGGCCTCCTCCTGCTTGCGAGTAAACTCCTCCATATCAATCTCCGGTTCTGACGTTTTGCGATCTGAAGCCGCAGTAAGCGGTCCCGCGCCGTTCATGGGAGAGCCGTTCGAACCAGTAACCCCTGGCGGTTTTGGTAATGAGTCGGTGTCGACAAACCAGTAGACCTTGACGAATCTGTTGTCGAAGATGACTTTGGGTGACTTGTACGCCGTGTTTGCCGAGTTCCAATCATCGTATTTGATGATTGCCAGCCTCTTATAAGGTCTCATCGAGACCTCTACAATGTTACCAAACTCGCTGAAGAATTCTCGTACCGAGTCCTCGGAAAACTTCTCCTCAGGGATATTCTCCACCACGATCGTAGTCTTGGACATATCAAAATTCGGTCTATCTGAAGAAAATTCGGCTCGACCTCCTCGCCGGCTGGCATTCCCATGTGGTGCGCCTCGATCACCTCTCTGAAACCCGCCGCGTCCCCTGCCTCGATCTCCACCCCTTGAAGAACCACGACTGGGAAATCCACCTGGACTACCATTGCTCTCAATGCCTGTCATGAGACCGGCGTTTGTTGGGTCATACTCGTCTCCTTTGCTTCCTGGAGGTACGAATATTGAGTTCTCTCCATGCTCGAACATGCAAGTATTCCCACGTGCACAGAACCCCTTTCGATCATAATCTCGACACCTCTGCTTCTTAGGCTGCATATTATGGGGTCTTGGTGGTCCGCCAACTCCAGGAGAGCCTGGTGTAGGAAAGGAGGGTAGTGGAAAGCCCATCGCCTGCATTGCGAGCATAGTCGCCATAGGATTATTCGCATCGAAAGGCGGCATCCCTGGAGGACTAGGCATGCCTGGCATATTAGGAAATCCCTGCGGAGAAGGCATTCCTTGTATATTCATAGGTGATCCTCGGCCGCCTGGAAAGCCTCCCCGTCCATTAAAGCCGTCAAAACCTCCACGCGCGCCTCCTCGACGAGGTTGTTTATACGACCTCCCATTCGGGTCGCCACCCTGAAATCCCCTATCTTGCGAATCGCCATCGCCTCGATCATTGTACGAACGTTTCCTCGAATCGCCGGAAGGACCCAGCGGCGCGCCCATTCCAACATTGCCATACGAAGGCGCCGAGGGGCCTGAAGGGGGCGCAAACGGCAGAGATGGTCTTCGGGGTGGACCTCCGCCGGGAAGATATGATTTCCATTGAACGGCTTCGAAAATATCTTGGGTGAAGCTTTCGGTGTGCTCTTGCAGGAAATCTGGAATCTCAGTCATGAAGAGCGTTCGAACCTCGGCAGGATCATTATCTTGTCGGAGTAGCGCAAGGACATAGTCGGCGAGAACATCTGCGTCTGCATCGGTGCTGTTTATATGTCAGTAAATGTGTTGCACTAGAGCTGTGGTGAGTTCATACGTATTCTCGAGCCTTTTCACAATCCACTTCTTCAGCAGCGGCGTATCTTCCTCGGGGAACAACATGTTGGTATGGTATGGTATGGTATGGTAAGAATTGGGTTGGTGTCGCCAAGGGCGTGGTGGTTATGTTGGTTAATGGGTCATTGCCATGGGATTGAATTAGTCTACGTCGGTATGGACAAGATGAGGGGACGTGAAGTGGAGTGAAGTAAAGTAAAGTAAAGTAAAGTGAAGCTCTGTTTGGTCTCGAGGAGCCGCCGTCACACAAATTCAAACAAACTCGGATTACATTGTTCCGCTCCGAAGGTCCGTGCACCATACATTTCACAGTGTTCCACTCGAAACATTATGAATTATTAATATATACTAGCTTAACTCCTCTTCTTACAGACGGTAACTTCGTTTTATAGAGCCATTCATCCTAGTCACAAAAATGCAGAAAAGGCCTTGTAATCTTGAATCTTGATGATTCATTTCTAAGAATACGAATCGGGGTATGCAATATTTATGCTATTATCCAACTAGTTTTTAACTCCTGTTTTGAACTCCTCAATATGACCCATCTTAATAACTTTTGGTCGTCGCTGCGTTATATCGTTATCATTAATCCAATTCTCTCATTCGTCCCGTCGGTTTATACCCCTTGGAGTCCAGGGCTCGACAGGTGGGGGATCCAGTGATCTCTCCGTCTGTATACTAAGCTCTTTCTTTCCATTGTTCCATTGTCCATCTTCACTACTAGATGTTGTAGTAAGACTATCGCTTTTGCTTGTAGGCCGTGCTGTAGTGTCTGGTGTCCGTTTCCCGAGGCGATGTAAGATATGAGCTCTCCACCGAAGTAGAATATTGCTCCTCTTGCTTCCTGCAAAGTCCATGTTTCCTTTGCCCTCATCCATAGACTGCTCGCCCTTCTCCGAATCTGCCACTTCTGAAGTTGCAGCGGGCTTCTGCTTCTTGAATCGGAACCACCAAATCGCTGCTGCAGTTGCAGCGATGAGACTCACCAGTCCCAAACTCATAATCGCCAAGCCTATATCCCTCAGCATCTTCCTCCTGTGATGATCCTCCACCTGTGGGGCGGGTTTCGGAGATACCATCGCGGCAACTTCTGTGGCGGGACTTGGAGGTGCTTTCCCTGTATCCCAGTTCTTTGGCTCAGGACCAAGCACAAAGTCCATCGTGCCTCCCTTCGAAAAGACATCGTTCCAAGTCAGCCACGATTGTGTCCATGGTTGTCCATTTACCTTGAGGGACTGAACATAATAGGATGAATTAGATCCACCAGTCGTTGTCATGGCTAGATTTTTCCCTTGAGGTAAAGAGATGGTCGTATTGGCGAACCAGGGAGACCCAATCAAGAAGGTTGTCTGTCCTACCATCGGGTACAGACCCAGCATATTCCACAGCAGCCAAGATTCCATGGCGCCTGCATCACTGTTTCCTGGCAAGCCACCAGGCGTGGGCGAATAATATGATTTGGCAATATTGCGACTTTGCTTGACGCTCAGATCTTGTCTTCCAACAAAGTTGTACAGATACGGAGTTGTGAACGAAGGTTCGTTTCCGGGATTGAAGATTGTGTTGTTGGAGGCTGCTGATCCGCCCGAGATGTTGAGACCAGGTGTGAATGTTATCTCTAAACGGGAAGTGAAAGTAGCTGGGCCTCCAGAAAGCGCAATGAGGGTATTGATGTCGTGATGAGCGTTGAATGAGTATTCCCATGGAAGTGCTTCATAGAAGGCATCTCCCCAATAACAACCTCCGCAAGATAGTGGGTTCTGAGCGATGAATCCCGAGGTATTGCGTGGCACTAGAAACCCAGTAAAGTTGAGGGCACTAGCCGCTGAATTCCAATGGTTCCGCCAGTTACGAGATCTTGTGGTGTATTTTGTTGCATCTGCGGTTTTCCCCAACCCAGCAGCTACTTGAGATAATGAGAAATCGTTGACGGAATATTCCACGGCTCGAGTGACTGCACGGCCATATTTAGGGGTGATATAGCCATATTTCAACCAATCTGGAAGCGCTCCTCTGCCCTCCTTGGTCGACGATGACAAATCTCTCGGATCGTTGTTGTTGACTGGAGTAATTTCAGCATCCTTGACCATGGCCTCGTACCCAGTGGTCCAATTTACGGCACCCCGGACCCCTTTCACAAACGCATCCGCAAGAATATTATCGGAATTAGAACCTCCTTGAGTTGCCCCATTGAAGTTTGATGATCTGGCGTCTGGCATGTAGCCTTCGAAGCGAAAGATATCGATGAGACTTCTAATGTATTCCTCGTACATATTGGGCTGGAAGATCTGGAACAGGGAAAAGGTGCAGCGGAATAGGTCCCAGGTAGTGAACGTATCATCATAATATGGTTCGGATGACTTCCACAGGGGGTTCTCGCCTGTACGGTTCGAAGGCAGCAAATGCATAGTGTACATGGAACTGTAAAGTAGCTGCAAATTGCTGAGGTTAGATTCAGTAGTTGTGACCTTGGAGAGAACATCTTCGTTCCAGATCTTCTTAGCGTTGTTCGTCATTGTTGAGAGCGTTGATCCAGAGGGTATCTGCGTGTTGACATTATCACACGCCTGAGCGGTGGAGATGAATGATATCCCAACTCTTGAAGTGACATTTGTTTCGCTGAAGCTAAACACCGCGCCTAGACGATCTGTTGACGCTGCAGTCGTCGTTGTGCTGTACTGCGCTAGCTCGCTTCCATTCGTATTTTTACCTACGAAGGTTTTGACTGTAGCCGAGCTGTCGAAATAACCACAGAAGTAGATTCGCCAATCTGGGGCTCTATTCCATCCATTATTGTAGTCGCCATAACCTTCGTAGTGGTTCTTTGAGACAGATATATTGCCTCCGAGGTACTGCTGCGATAGTCCCTGACCTCTGTACGACGGAAGGACGTGGGAGACATCTACAACAACATTCGCCTGGTCTCCCGTTGGGAAGTTGTACTCGTAGAAACCAGCCCGGCTCGTGGAGCTGAGCTCAACAGTGATCTTGGATCCAAGTGAGGCCTTGTAATAGCCTACGGAATTGATGTCTGGTTGGGCCCGAGTGTCATTCAAATTGGCCAAAGGATTACTGACAGTTCCCAGCACTGGCATTTGCGAGACAACACCATACTTGGGAGCACCTCCAGTCCCGCTCTCATGCATCATTGAGAACCCTGTGAAGTTTCCTACCGGAGCATCTCCTGAATAAGTGTCATGTCCACTGAAGATATCTGGGCCAAGTTTCACCATGCCGAATGGCAGTGATACCCCCGGAAATGTGTTGCCACCATTGGTTCCAGTCTATATAGTAGTTAGTAAAGTTTGTAGGTACAAGGATAGGTATGACTGACTGTTGTAAGAACATATTGCGAGAGGTCTGTTGTGGACTGTGCCGACACAAATGCAACGAGCAGTGCTAAGGAGAAAGTGTAAAGAGACATGGAATCTGTTGGGTTAATAGCTTGGTGATGTTGTTTGGTAAAGAGAGGTTTATCCCGTGCTATAACCCGACGCTCCAACGAAAGACAGTCCTGTGAAAGTGATTGCTCCGTGAATCACTTCCGTGTACTAGTCACGTGTGCTGATGATTATAAGGAGGGCAAACAATTCGTTCTCAGAATCTCATAGTGTGAATTCGGGCGAGAAGAAATGGGAGTAGAGATATAGGCAGTAATACCAAGAGCATGTGCTGAGAAATCCATGAAGCCCGAAATATTAAATAGGAGGACGAAACAAAGACAACAAAGACAACAAAGAGAGAATGGGACTCGGACAAGTCCTTATACTATAGAACAGAGTTTGTGGAGACAAGGAGAAGGAGGGGACTATCTTGATACAACCGGAGTAGAGCGTTGGGGGCCCATAATAATCGCGATCCTTAGGGCTGAGCGCGGAAAAAGGGGCCACAGAGAGAGAGAGAGAGAGAGAGAGAGAGAGAGAGAGAGAGAGAGAGAGAT